TAGCGCACCGTTTTTCATAACAATTTGTTAATGTTTGAAGAGCGTGGTTAATGCAGTGTGTGTAGTCAATAGTCATGGAGAAGAAAGATATCGCAAGAGGAAAAAACTTCCTTGAATCAGAAAAAATAATAATAATCAAGCTATAATATAAGCGAATTATAGGGTGCAATAGGTCAGACATGAACTTTTAATCCTTTTGTAGAGAAATCCTAGTCATCGTATTTCTCGAGAGGATTAATCCGTTGGCGGATTATATGAGGCGTTTTTGCTACGAAATTGTAGAAATCTTCATCTTCATCAATCAGTCCATATATTTCTATTTTGGAAAAAAAAATATTACCACAAAATTGACAAATCACTAGATTACGAAAAAAAAATGTTTTTTTTCAGGTTATCTCAAGGGGTAAATCCATAAATCGCTAAACCCGCATTATCAACAACAGTGAGCAAATTTAACCCAAGGTTACACCAAGAGTTATAGCTAACTCGCTGTGGAGAAACGTTTACCCTGGAGTTATAATCAACCTGGAAATGACTCGCTATTGATAAACCGGCCCTAATATAAGTAACGTATTTGATGAATACTTCACATTGTTCTCATGTCGAGCGTAGTACCTAACAACGCTATAGCTATAACTTTGCATGTGCAGTATGTGCCCAATACTGGATTCCCTCTATCCAGCACAGGGGAGAACAAAAATGATACAAACAGAAAATCTCTCCTTACTTATCTTATGTGAACCCCGAAAATATTTAGATATATTCGGAAAGATTTAGTTCATGAATGCTCAACAGTGAGAATAGAAAAATTAATATAATTTCCATGTAAATTGACTTAAGGCCCACCCCACCACCCCTAAGTTGGAGGTTTTCTCTTTGAATCCTTTCATGTAGGGCATTTTCAATATTTTGCACTAGTCACAACATTCTGTGTTAAACACAGATTTCAAATGTCCATCCAACATGTCTTTGTAATCTTACGAGTATTATTTGCTTCCTCAGATGTAAATTATTGACAGTTTCTAGCCAAAAAAGGCGATATTTCACACGAATTCTATGAGATTTGTCATTTGTTCAGATTTCATGACATCCTCTGTGATGTAAGCTTTATTTTGAGACCAGATTTTCTAAAATCAGACAAAAATTGGAAAGTTACGGGCAAATTAATTCCAGCACGACCTTTTTCGTAACACTATTACTAAGAATAGGGCAGTATTTCTGAAAGAATACGTAAGTTTAGCCACCCTGTATAATATATTAGGCTTATCTAGACTATTTATTTGCGAAATAGAAAAAAAATCCCGATATGTAGCTTGCAGTGCGTGCCAACATCAATAATTAAAAGGCTTGGCAATGATTTTCGGACCCACTTTACTGAGTCACCCTGTATAGTTAGAGATTTGGCGCAATGATGAAAAATACTTATTTTCACTAGTACTACAACATACCAAATTTTTAAAAAATTCGACCGGTCCCGAAAACCCATAAGATGTGTGCGATGTCCTTTATAAAACTATTTAGATTAAGCAAATATCTTGCTCGAAATTTAATTGATTTATTGACACCTTTTATACGGACTCCAACTAGAACTTCATCATTAAAAACTGTGGTAAAATCGGAGGTAAATTTTCCACTTTGAAGTTTCTCATTTTGCCTTACAAATTCAATGAGCATTTCTTTTTGAGTATGATTTATAGGTGAACATCTTGATTTTTCCAAATTCATTTTCCACATAAACAAAACAGCACGAAAATAAAAATTGTAAATAAAATGATTAATGATTTGATTTTCAGTAAATAAATAAGCAAAGAATGAGATTACGTCCCAAAACACAAATAAAACAAACCCCTCGTTTTTATTCTAATCGGACTTTACCGATGAGTTAGCTATCTTTGTTTAGTGAATGGAAAATGATAATGACCGACATAGAATGGTGGAAAATTTGATGAGAATAAAAACGCAGGGATACCGATTTTCTCCTTTCTCATGACATTCGTCCTTTTAACGCACCAAAATTGTGGCTAATTCTACATATTACTGTTGGCAACAACGCATTATTATTGGACAAGTTTTCTCTCATTCTATCATAATCCCATACGTTCGAGAAAACCAACTTTGGCATCAAGAGAACGAGCGTGCGATGTGATCTCTCACTTCTCCTAGGGGAACGTTCACTTTTACCAAATTCGAGAATCGACTACCTGGCCGCTTTTAATGTGCCCCAAGCCGCTCAGGGGGCGCGCATGTTCATCGCTGGAAATCGATTTTAGTGAACGCCTTTGGATGTTGACGCTATCAGCTGTCATACGTCGGTTGGTTGTCAAACAATTTTTAGTTTGTCAAACTTTTTATGAATCATTTTCATTAGTTGTAGTGTTTTTACTTCTACCCAGTTTTAGTTTAGGTAAGTTTTATGTTCATCATAGCGTCAATCCCATTGGTGATGAAATTGATGTGAAGACAAACAAAAAAGTTCAATTATTATTTAAATATGTATGTACCTAAATAAAAATATTATAAGTCCAACGATTGACAGACACGAGTTTTATTTTCCTATCTTATCCAAAAAACCTTTTTGGCGTTGACTAGGATCGTCTTGGTTATTACATATTATATTTATTTCTAATAGTGAGGGATAAATATAATAACTAATGTTAAATCTGATCAAGGCCTAGAAAGATCATCCACGAAGAAAGTTTCAAATTCAAATATCCCGCCAAAATCATTTTACTTTGACCCAAGCCTATAGAGGCGCCACATAGGTATACAATAGTATATTGTTGTATTAGGAGTAGAAGCTTTACTTTTTTGTGCTGAAGCAGTAGGTTTGCGAGCCGAACGTAGTGAGGCTTGCAATACTGCTGAAGCACAAAACAGTGCTTCTACTCCGTATGCAACACGCTATTTTTTCTCCAAACGAATGGGGTAAGCTCGGGGGTAACTGAATGGTTAAGCGGCAGTAAAAGTACGAGCGGCACTAAAAGTACTTTTGCTGCCGCTCCAGCGGCACTAAAAGTACTTCTACTGCCGCTGCGGTTGCCTAGCAGTATAAAAATTAAATTTCTACCACCTGGACAGGTGTTAACCCGCTGGATTTGCCTACCAGCATAGAAATTAAATTTCTAACTTCTTGACAAGTGCTGACAAAGTGACGTTTTTTTGACGTTTGGAGAAAAACTTTTTTTTTAACATGGGAGTTATAGTCCAACATACCATTTTAAAGTCACGTGATTTTTCTCTATCCTTGTTGAATACATCTCAAACAGCGGTGATAGTAAAATTGACAAAAAAATTGCTGTCTAATTATTGTTCATAAAATTCTTACCTGAAATAGAATCCGTCTCTGCCATCAATTAGTTTGTCAAAGTTATTTTAGAAAATGATTCAACGAACAAACACAGCTAATAATTTTAACTATATTAACCTTTTTCCAACACAAAAAGATGCAAATAGAAAACGGGTACCCAATTCAAGTTCAGAATCTATTACAAGGGGCAGCAGAAGCGACAAAAGTGAGTCTCGCAACAATTGCAAGTATTAAAATTCTCATCTGATTGGTCAATACTACTTCAGAAACGCGTTTGTAAAATGCTAGTGGGAACATATCTCAAAATTCAATAGTAATTAACCACAAGTAGCTTTTTGTAGGTGATATCAACGACATAATCAACGAACATACGTTTTTTGCCACCAATATCACGTGACATTAAAATGGTACCTATTTGTCGGACTTTACCATTCTATATCCCCATTCAAACCTTATTCTATGGTTCGTTCAAATTGAGTATCAAAATGGAAAAGTGTTTTTTCAATTTTGATAAACAAAATAATGAAAAATCGAGAGTTTTAAAAAGTAAAATTACCTATTGGAACTGTGATTGAAAGAGATGATGGAAAACATGAAAGTTGGTGGGAGTTTCAAGTATTGACACGCATGAGAAATATTACAAATCTTACATTCGAGAGACAAACATAAAAGCGGCAAAGAAAAGGAAAGCAGTTGGTCTAGATGAATCACCTGCAGGATCAAGCCGTACTAGGGAAATTGTCAGTTTCGACTACCTATGCTAGGCTGTGTATCATATGTAGTGAACAAGCGGGAGATGGCTATTTGTTAGATTTACGGAAGAAAGGTCGTCTTTTATTAGGTAACGTTCATTTTAAACTATCTCTAATAATAATATTCAACTATACAGGGTGTCCCACGGTGGATGGCGTATTAGACGTTTATGGAGAACTAAAAAGCGAATCATTTTGAAAATTTGGCAACCGGGATAAACGACCATGATCTACACTTTAAAAATATTTTTGACCATGCGGTGTTGCCGCTTCTACTCTAAACTAGTGGCGACATCACTATTTTAAATGGAACACCCCGTATTTAATTGCATATTTGGATTCTACGTAAAATTCTGAGCAGATTTCATGTGATATACCCTATACCTAAGTTCAACTGTTTTGGAAATATTGACAGTTGAAAATTGACTTTTTGCAACTTTGACAGGCTGTGAAACCAAATTGGTTAATATTAGAGGATTGTTGTTTATTCTATACGTCAAAATAGAGAGAAGTATAGATGTTGAGCTATAACATAGCTGTTAAAATAACAGGAGAGGATACATCATAGGCCTGATTGTTGCTTGGTACAGTGACGGTTCAAATGTGAGAAACGTGGTTGTCAAACTCGGAGGTTTTCATCTAGCTATGTCATTTCTTGGTTGTATCCGATATATTATGGCTGGTAGTGGTCTCGAAGATATGTAGTCTTATTTATGCTCAAGGATCGGTTGAAAAAATGTTATCTGGAAAGGCTTATGCTCGAGCAATACGCTGCCATTCGTTAATCCGTCTTGCCTTTGCTTTGCTTATTTTGGAAGATTTACAATTTTCCGATGAAGAACAACAAATATTGAATGATGTATGCCTACTCGAGAATGTTACTGAAAACGACCTCACAGATGGTAAAATTGACTTCTTTCAACAAAAATTCAATTCAAAAAATGGAAGATTTGAAGGAGAACGGTCCAACAGCAAAGCTGTATGTTCAATATTTTCAAATGGTTTCTATTTTATTTCAATTCATTCATGCTGAGAAATGTGGCGATTGGAAACTACATTTGGAATGTGTACAAAAAATGATTCCTGCCGGACACTTCAACTATGCTAAATGTTCTCACCTGTATCTTCAAGATAGGCATGAAATATCCGCAAAATTTAATACCCATAATTATCATCTATATACCAATATGGGATATTTCACGATACGAAGGTCCAACAAGTTCTACTCAGGTATTTGGTCTGACATGACAATTGAGCAAACCTACATGAGAAACATTCATTTAAGAGGAGGCTTAACGCATGGTCGTGGAGTCAGTCCTGCTACTGCTACTACTGCACGATGGATAACAAGCATCCCCCTGCAAATAGTTCTCGATGAACAGTTAGAAAACTTTTGCAACTTCAAGATGGACGGAACATCGCATCAGCATAAAGATGCTGGTAATTCGCGCATTCAAAAGGATGAGAAAGACGTGAAAGTTTTACTAGAATGGCTAGAAAATCATCCTCCATTTTTACAATTAGATAACTTGGTATCATTAAGTACTGGAGTAATTGCAACCACAGAAATTAATTGCTACAAAGCACAAGAAAATGGGATTGCTCTTATTCCTGTAGTGATGAAAGGAACAGTGGATCAAATAAAATTGAAAAAAAAAAATATGAAAGTATTGCCTTTGAAAAGTGTATTTTCTAAAATAAGCCTGGGTTAGGATAATGTTGTTGTCGTGGATTCAGAGACACTTTTCCGAAGAATGCTTTTATTGAAGCCAAGTAATACAGAATTTGAAGGCTATTTCAATTTTGAGTTATCTTCATATCCATCATCTATATTTGACGGATTGAGAATGAGAAAAAAAAAATCTGACCTTTACGACTTTTTTACACCCATTGAAGTTGATCCTCTTGATGACGTCCACTAAATTATTGATAGTGGATATTTACTTCATAAAATTATATGAAATGCTAATGAAACATTCAGAGAAATCAGCAAAAAATATATCAATTATTTATCACATAATTACACTAATTGCACGGTTGTTTTTGATGGCTACCCTTCTAATGAGGTATACACCACAAAAAGTGCTGAAAGACTTCGCCGCATAAAGCAAGTTGGCCCCGAAGTACTGGTGAAAGATGATTCAAAGCCATTGTCAAAACCAGACAAATTTTTAACCAATAAAAACAACAAAAAATGCCTAATTGAAAAATTTAGAAAATCTGATATTGAAGTTAAGCAGGCACAAGAAGATGCCGATGTATTAATAGTGAATACTGCAAAAGATAAGGCAAGTAATAGATGTAAAAATTATGTAATAATTGGCCAGCATGTAGATTTGCTCATTTTATTATCTATGTTATCTGAAGAATATTCCAATGTATACCTATTCAAACCAAGTATTGAAAATATATATCACTTCTAAATTTTATAACCAGAGCAGTTTCAACTTTCCCCAAAATCAAAGTTCCTAGGTTTTATTCATGCATTTAGTTGCTGCGATACAACATCGGCATTTTTCAACATTGGGAAAAAGAAATTCATGAAATTCATGAATAAAAATATTTGAAGGTTGGAGAAAAGCACGCAAATATGTTTGCAAGACGATGCGAATGCGAAAGACATTGGTTCAGCTGCTGAAAACATAGTCACCGATTATATGGGATGAAGAGAAACACTTTAAGCAGCTGTCGCTACCAACTGTTTCTACGACTGTCAAAAAACGCAAAGTTTTCACTAGCATAATTACCACCTACTCTTGATACCTCTAAACAGCACGGCTTGAGAACGTACCACCAACTCTAGCAGTGGAATCAAAATTCTCTAGATCCACTTGACTGGGGTTGGAAAAAGTCTTACAATGGTTTAATACCAATACAGACGATCAATCCTCCTGCCCCGCAAACTTTGCTGGAGCGAATTGCTTGTGGATGCACGAAAGGTTGCCAAGCATCCTGTGGCTGGGAAACTGGAAATAACCTGTTCCAAATTTTGCAAAGAATGTACTGGTATCAATTGCGAGAACGTTGAAATGCCAGATATTACTGAAGAAGACATCAATAATGAAATCGATGCTTAAGTTGATATTGATTTGATTGATATGGAAAGTATTTTGACACAATGATGCAACATAATATATATCGGTTTTACAAGGTCTTCCGATATCCAATCTCTATTATTTTTTTGGCTAATAGGTTTTCGTCAAGGCCTCAATCAGGTAAAAATATTTAAAATAAATTTATAAAAAAGTTTATTCGTATGACATTATTTATTTTCACTCCAACGCCACAAAATATCTGCATTTCATATATCGACTTAGTAGGTACATTCACTGTTATCACTGAATTATTGCAAAATAATTTGTTATTCAACGAAAATCAATCTACCTACTGTTAACATAGAAAATAAAACGATATCTACAAAGGCAAAAAGTTAAAAAATCGAAAAAAAGTTGCTAACTTTGAATGCGTATATCTCGGCCATTTTTTCTCGTATGAACTTCCACCAGCCGCCATTTTAACGGAAATTACATAAACTTAATTTTTCATGAAGCAATGCCTATTGTTAATGCTAAAGACATCGCTCACTTGGAGCATACTAGTGACGTCAAGCTAATTCATATCACAATCCAGCAATAGGTGGCACTGTTGCCCCTCCACTGAAACCAAACGTCAAGACAGACAGCGAAGCTTCTCGAAGAAAGAGACCGATCGAAAACAGGTACGTGGCTTGACGTCGCAAAAATAAAAAACGTAAAATCTAATTAAAACACCGAAAATCTTTTATAAAAAATATCAAAATCGATGCGAATTAACATGGTCCTTCGAGCCGGATAAGTTTTTCAGAGGAAAAACATCGAAAAAATCGTAAAAACGAAAACAGTCAACGCGGCCTTGGAAATCGAACAGTGCCGGGCCGGGTAGCAACAGCAACAAGAATCCGAAATCGGTCGGGATCGTGACTCGGGATCCTGACTCGGGAATCGGACATTGCGTTGTGTTGTGTGTGTTGACGGCATTGAAACAGAAATCAAGCATTTTTGGTGAGTCTGTTCCATTTATCCATGTATATTTATTCATTTTTCCCATCAAATTATTTGAAATCGAGATTTATTATTGTTTAAAATAATAATAATTATTAATAATTAATCATAATCACTCAATCGAACCTTTTTTATCAAATCAAGCTCAATTTAAACCAATTGAAAAAAAAAAGCAAAGCCAAAAGTAAAATGGCTGATTCTGATGAGGAGCGCCCAGCTGACGCCACCACAGTGGCGGAGGTGGCAGCTTTAGCGGTTCAATTAAAAAATCTTATAACAAAACGCGGCCAAGTAAGGGCTACTCTAACCCGATTTAACACGTTTGTTAACAAATGCAAATACAATTTAAATCAAAATAATATTATGCAAATACAAGCACGGTTATACAACTTGCTTATTTCTTTTGTAAATTTTAATCGTATTCAGGATGAAATCGAAATACTGGACGAAGATGAACTTGGTTCCGATATACGCGAGGTTTTTGCAAATCAATAATTATGACATCACACAAAGCGCTAAACAATTAATATTTGACTTTATGCAGCAAAATAATCGTGTCTCGTCAGTAGTGTCACCGTTGTAACAACAATTTAACAATCAGGCATGTCAACATAGTTGCTCTACTAATGCAAATATTATAAACAACAACAATAATGTAAGGTTTCCGCCAATAGATTTATTTGCCCAGATTTTACGGGGACTATGAAAAGTGGGGTCAATTTAGGGACATGTTTGTTTCATTGATTCATAACGATACTCAGCTTGACAACGTAAAAAAGTTTTACTATCTCATAAGTAGTCTAAAGGGTGATGCGGCTAAAGTCATTGAGTCTATAGAGGTAACTAATGATAATTACGATGTTGCATGGAACTTATTAATTTCCCGGTATCAAAATAAATCGGTCATTATTAAACATCACGTGAACGCTTTGGTAGAAATGCCCTCTGTAGGTAAGGATGTTCACATTTCGTTGCGAAAATTCACTGATTCTTTAAGAAAGCATCTGAGATCACTTGAAACTCTGGGAGAGCCAGTAAAAACTTGGGACACTTTGTTATTTTGTATCATCTCTAAAAAATTAGATAATACCACCTAACGGGAGTGGGAATCATTATTTATAACAAAGAATATAAACAACGTACAATTGAAGTTTTCAGATTTTTTAGAATTTTTAGAAAAGCGGTGCCTTCTTTTAGAAACTATGTATCACGATAAACAAGGTATTGTTGCTAAACCAACAATAAATTCTGAGCCTTATAAGAGCGCCCAAAAATATCAAAAAAGGTCACCACCAGAAAATAAATATCAACATGCATTTGCTGGTAATGCGATCGGTAAACCAGCTATTTGTGGTTTCTGCCAAGAAAATCATCCCATTTATGCATGTGGAAAGTTGAAATCTCTCCCAATATCGACACGGTTCAAGGAAATAAATAATTTAAAACTATGTACAAATTGCTTACGTGCTAATCATGAAACATCACAATGTAAAGCACAAGGTTGTAAGATATGTCAGCAAATGCATAACACGATGTTACATAATCAGCAAAATGAGCAACCTAATGCCAACAATGCACAACAAAGGGCCCATTTAGGTCAAAATTCGAGAAACGTCTCTTTCGGTCACGTGAGCAATTGTAGCATAGAATCAGCTGAGGAATCGACCTCGGAACTTGGACATCAACAATTAGATAATCATCCCCTTTCCACTGAGGTAATGCAGCAAACAGTAACGAACTTTTGTGAAAATAGAATTTCTCAAATTCTCCTATCAACTGCTTTTGTTTTAGTCAGAGGCGCTGCAGGTGATTGGCATCGCTGCAGGGCCTTACTCGATAGCGGCAGCCAACCCAATTTTATCACTAGCAAAATGCAGAAAAAAGTAAACATTCGTTCAACAAACATCAATCATGGGAGTAGGCAATTCTAATTCAAAAGTAGATGAAAAAATTATAACGCAAATTAAATCAATTCATAACAGTTTTAAAGCTGAGCTTACATTTTTAGTTTTAGATAAAATCAAGGAAATTTTACCAATTAATTCATTCAACATAAATTCACTTAAGATACCTGAGGGAGTTATTCTAGCCGACTATGAATTTTACGAATCTGGAGAAATCGATATGCTCTTAGGAGCCAGCATTTTTTATGACCTAATTGGCACGAATCAAGTTAACTTGGGTGCAGGAATGCCAGTTCTACAACAAACCGAATTGGGATGGGTCTTATCGGGTCCTCTATCACTGAACACGAACTTATGTAATTATACGGTTTGCAACCTCTCTGTTAATAAAAAATTAGAGAAGTCTATTGAAAAATTCTGGTCAATAGAAGAGGTACCCAACTCAAGGTTAAAATCGATTGAGGAGCAGGAATGCGAAGACTTATTTGAAAAAACAACACAGCGTGATGAATACGGCCATTTTATAGTAACGTTACCAATTAAAGAAAATATAGGCAAATTGGGTCATTCTCAGTGAAACGGTTGCATAGCATGGAGCGAAGATTTGCAGAAAGTATCGAGTTCAAAAGACAGTATATCGATTTTATGACCGAATATGAGGCTCTTGGTCATATGACTGAGATAAGTGCTACCGAAATCAACCAGGCTCCCATCTCATCAAATACCTTTTACTTACCACATCATGGGGTTATAAATCAATCCAGCTTG